ACTTCATACAAAATAATAGTACCTTACATACCATAAATAAGAGCATCCTTAAAGTTCTCAAAGGATCTGGGTAATGAACTCAACAGAAGTAAAGTCTTGTTCTCATCATCAATCTTCACTTCAATATTCTCAAGATCATCAATAATCTTGTGAAATTATGTAAGCTGCTCAAATATGAATTTATGCTCCACCATTCAGAATGAATAGAGTTGTTGTTTCATACACAACATGTGAGCCAAAGACTTAGTCATATACAATGATTCAAGTTTTACCCACATAGCAACCGCAGTTTGCTCCCTGGAGACCTCTCAGAACTTTATCCCAGAGGCACAAGATGATGCCACTTCTGATCTTATCCATCATCTCGGTCTTTTGTACTTGTGTAACACCTGCAGGCATCAATGTTTCACTCTTTAAAGCATCAATACACTTCTCTTAAATTAAAATTGCTTGCATCTTAATTTTCCATAACCCGAAGTCGTTGTTACCAGAAAATTTATCGATCTCCCATCTACTAACCATGGTGCTCAATACCTCTTTGTTCCATGCTCACTGCACCACTTGTTATGAATCTTGTTATGAATTACGAAAAAAATTCAATATCAATTTGTGAGGAAAATAATAGTAGCAACCAAAGTAAATGGTCTACAGCAATAATAATCCGTACACAGATAATATAAAAGAGTAAGATGAGAAAAAGATAAAAGTTTATTTACCCAGTTCAATCAAACGATCTATTCTGGGGAGAGAGCAACTCTTCATCAATTCATATACTCAGAAAGTTGTTACAAGAGATTCTAGATGAATTAGAAGAAAATAACTTTTGCCTTCAGGTTCCCAAGAACGACCTTGACGGCTTCCAAAAATTAACCATATTTTCTATCCAAGTGTTTCTCAACCTTTTCAACCTTCAATATATGAATAACTTAAACCCAATATGTAAAAAAGTGTTTCCCAATTCCCAATAACCTTAGATAACTCCAAAGGTTTCCAAAACCCTTGTCTTTCTAAGGTTTCCCTTGAGAATAGCCAAAACCCTATGTTATGCCTTTAAACCATTGTTGTCCTTTGTTACTATAAGCTCTAATATTATCACACTATAATAACAGAAGAGATACATATATAAGCCAAAATCCAACATATCCATATCAAATCCCAAAATATATCTCCTTAATTGTTAGGATAAAATATATTATTATAATCTTATAATATCTCTCAAATATTATAAATATATTATAATATCTCTTAGACTATTATAAATATATATCTTATAATATCTTTTAGGATATCATAAATATATATCTTATAATATTTTTTAGAATATTATAAATATCTTATAATATATTTTTATATTAATTTATATAATCTCTAAATTAATATTAAATATTCTAACATTAATGAATGGATCAATGAACTGAACCAACCGAACTGGATACTCATAAATTGCTCGGATCAAGTTATATTTCGGCTTTTTGATTTTTGGCAATCTCGAAACATGGTTCCTTTCTATTCATCAACAAATTTTTTAAGGCATATTCCAACAATTCCCGCCTTGACTTTAAACCGTGTTAATACCAATTTAACCATCAACAACATTACGGCTCTTTATCAGGTTGAAACTCTAATCAATAACCTTGATCAAATTCAAACAACCCTTGAATCTTGATCTCGCCACTTGCATCCACTTATTTCCAATTACATTTTTCTGCCTTGCTAATTTAACAAGCCTACAAGTATGATTTTTCAACCAACCTTGACTCCACCTATTTTCAAATGCCTCCCTGAAGGTTTTTCTTCTTTTATTTTGCAATCCTTCAGCGATATTAAAAAAAAAAATCCAAGACTAGCATAACCGTCCATTTGAGATGATAGAATAACCATCATTACCTTATAATGAGTCAAATGATAATTAGAGATCTCTGTAATCGTTCCCTCACTACTATTAGTATACAAAGTAGGAACCTCCATCACATACTCAGTTTTCTCCGTTATAGTTTCTCCCAGGTTTCTCCCTTGATTTTCACTATTCTCCCTCTGAAGAAATTCCCTACCAACCAAGTAAGTTGTTTTAACCTCAGCTCTTCCCCAAAAACTCAATAACAACTCAGCGATAACATGCATTTTTATCCCTTGATTTCTATAAAATTCATTATACTCCTCTGAAACTTTCTTAAGTCATTCATAACGCCTTAAACCCAAATCACATGGTTCTTCCTTGTCATAAAAGCCTCCACTAATTAATGATGAATGAACAATATTTAAACCTTCTAAAATATATAGAACACATATTTTAGACCCTTTAACAATAATCATTTCATCATGCAAAAATTTTAACACTCCATGTTTAACTCTAGTACAATAGCCTAGATTATCAAACATACTTATAGATAACAAATTTTGCTTGAGTTCTGGAACTAATCTCACATTGTGAATAAGAAGTTAACGATCATCAAAACCTTTAAGTATGACAATACCAATACCATGAACCTTACAAGTCTTATTATCACCAAGGCGAACAACTCCACCTTGAATCATCTTCAAAGTTTCAAAGTATTATAATCTTAGACACATGTGATAAGAGCAACCTGAGTCAATGACCCAACTATCTTCAATTTCCAGACTCGATACTACTAGTACATCGGCATCCTCATAACTTTCCTCACCCAAGGCAACTATAGCTTGAACAGAATCTCCATTGATCTTTATCTCAGGACAATCCCTTTTAAAATGACTGATTTTTTGACAATTAAAACATTTTACCTTTGACTTGTCATACCTCTTTAATTTTGACATACCTTTACGCTTAACTCCTCCTCTTAACACATTTAAGCATTCACCACTATCTTCAATCTTCAAATCTTTCGACTTTGAAAATTATTTGGATTTCACCATCGTCTGGACTTCATCCAAAGTAATAGTACCTTTCATACCATAAAGAAGAGAATTCTTAAAGTGCTCAAAGGATCTTGGTAATGAACTCAAGAGGTGTAAAGCTTTGTCCTCATCATCAATCTTCACTTCAATATTCTCAATATCATCAATAATCTTGTGAAATTTTGTAAGCTACTCAACTATGGATTTGTGCTCCACCATTCAGAATGAATATAGTTGTTATTTCAGACACAACCTCTGAGTCAAAGACTTAGTCATATACAATTATTCAAGTTTTTCCCACATAGCAACCGCAGCTTGCTCCCTGGAGACCTCTCTTAGAACTTTATCCTCGAGGCATAAGATAATGGCACTTCTGGTCTTATCCATCATCTCGGTCTTCTGTACCAGTGTAACACATGCAAGCATCAATATTTCACTCTTCAAAACATCAATACACTTCTCTTGAATTAAAATTTCTTGCATCTTAATTTTCCATAACCCGAAGTCGTTGTTACCGGAAAATTTCCCGATCTCCCATCTAATAACTATGGTGTTCAATACCTCTTTGCTCCACGTTCACTGCACCACTTGTTGTAAATCTTGTTGTGAATTACGAAAGAAATTAATATCAATTTGTGAGGCAAAGAATAGTAGCAACCAAAATAAATGATTTACATCAATATAATTTGTACACAGATAATATAATAGAATAAGGCGAGAAAAAAACGAAAGTTTATTTACCCAGTTCGATCAACGATCTACTCTGGGGGAGTTATAAGAAAATAACATTTTCCTTTAGGTTCTCAAGAACAACCTTGACGGCTCTAAAAAATTAACCATATTTTCTACCCAAATATTTCTCAACCTTTTCAACCTTCAAAATATGAATAACTCAAATTTAATGTGTAAACAACTGTTTCTCAATTCTCAATAACTTTAGATAACTCCAAAGATTTTCAAAACCCTTCTCTTTCTAAATTTTTTCTTGAGAATAGCATCTTATACTATGTCTTTAAACCCTTGTTCTCTCTTGTTATTGTAAGCTCTAAGATTGTCACACAGAAGATATATATATATATATATATATATATATATATATATATATATATATATATATATATATATATATATATATATATATATATATATATATATATATATATATATATATATATATATATATATATATATATATATATATATATATATATATATATATATATATATATATATATATATAATAGCCTAAATCCATAACAAATTCCAAAATATATCTCTTTAATTGTTAGAATAAAAGATACTATTATAATTTTATAATATCTCTCAAATATAACAAATATCTTATAATATCTATTAGACTATTATAAATAGATATCTTATAATATCTTTTCAAATATTAGAAATATATATCTTAAAATATCTTTTAAAATATTATAAATATCTTATAATATCTTTTTATATAAATTTATATGATCTTTAAATTAATATAAAATATTTTAATATTAATAAATGAATTAATAAATTGAACCGACCGAACACGATATTCGTAATTCGCTCGGACTAAATTATTTTCGAGCTTTCTAATTCTTGAAAATCTCGAAATATAAGGCGTATTCCAACCCTTGAATTACTGCATCATTATTATATTATTTATTATTATCATGGCAAAATACTCATTTTGGTCCATTAACTATCCTCTTAGATTCAATCCTTTAATTTTTTTTGTCATTTTAATCCTTTAACTTTCAAAACATTTCACGAAAAAAATTAAGAGACCAATCTAAACTCAAAAGAATAATTAAATGATCAAAATAGATATTCTACCTATTATTATTGAAGCATATTTATCCTTATGCTGCAACACTCTTATCCTTATCAGGTTTTGATATTATCATTCAAAAGTTTCCACAAACGACGAGGACATGTATTTTATTATATACTAATAATAGAGATCACTTGTCAAAGATCTCCAATATATGGCCATATCTTTATGCAAAAATTAGTGCATGTCAGAAAGTGGAATAGCCAAGACATGACATAAAGCAAATTATCTCCTTTACATTATTGTGATAATTTGTTCCATTATTACACACATAACATAAACATACTTCAACATCAATCAACACTTATATTGATTTTCCATGAGGTTTTTCATATATTGCCTCAGCTATGCCTCTAATTGTTTTGGGAGTGGTTCTACAGCAGCCACCAAAGAGAGAAGCCCCAGCATAACGCCACTTTCCTATGTAAGGGACAAAGTCTTCCTCTGCTTCCACACTTGATTTCTGCAATCATAAAAAACATGCATTAGTCGATCTCGACCAATCATATAAGGTCGTCTGACTAACAAGCACTATGTAGTTTTCAGAAGTCTTGTGTAAGTTAGTCGCGATTTAGCTCTGGTAAAACAAATAGATATCCTATTTTACCATTATACTAAATTTTGGATCTGTGCGGTAGCCCGCTTTACATTGCCTCAAAGACTGTCTGATATTCACAACAAATTTCATGAACCGAGAGAAAAACAGGAACTTACCACCCATTGATTGTTATCAGGATTATAAGTCTCTCCACTGTTGGGATACACCAGTATTGGTTTAGTTGTTACCTGATATTTAAGAATTCAAGAACAAGTATCAGTTCTATAACTACTAGTTGAAAATTGTTCATATTGAACAAAAATATTGATACTATATAATAAAATTCATACTTTTTTAATAGATGAAATCAAGCCATGAATAAATCTAGGAGCAGTACAGTTAACTCCAACCGCAACAACTTGTCGACACGAATTAGCAATCGAAGCACAATCTAAAATAGAATCACCACTAGCCACATTGTTTTCATCCTTGCAAGAAAAAGAAAACCATGCAGGAGTATCTATTCCTTCTTCCTCCATAAGTTCAACATAAGCCTGTGCATCAAGCTTGTTTGGAATTGTTTCAAAAGCAATTAAATCAGCACCTGCGTCAACGAGAATCTTTACTCTTTCCCTGTGAAAATCTTTGAGTGTCTGAACAGTGACGGAATCGCCATAGTTCCCTCTGTCAAAAAAAATAAATAATCATAACATCGCGATAATTAACTTCATCAAACTCAAACTCGAACACGAATGCGTGTTTAAAATGATAACGAATTTTGCATGATTCATTTAATTGACTCACGTATATTCAGAGCCATCGGCCAAATAGGCGCCATAGCTTCCAACAGAAGCTGCAACTATAATTGGACGGCTTCCATGCCTTTCATCTCTGATAAAATCAAACGAATCCTTCGTGCACCTATCGTTATAAATATCGCGCGCCTCGATTGCAAGCTCTACGCTTCTTCTAAGGAGAGTTTCACCTTCTTCCTTTGAGAAGCCTTTAGCTTCAAAACCTTGAATTGTAGCCTAATATACAAGAAAGAAAACAATTTTTATGATTATTTGCATGATAAATTAATGATTGCTAGTAAATCATGTTATGATTAAAGATAATGGGAGGGAAATTATTTACCTGATAAGATGATGTTAATATTATGTTTGCTCCTGCGTCAAGGTAATCAAGGTGAACCTGTTACATGTTAAGTTAATTAATAAAATATGCAGAAAATTACTACCAATTTATCTTGTAATTTATTATATTTCACCTATGAAGTGAACTCTCTAAACAACAAACAATGCCAAATCAATTATGCTTTATAATATTTCTCCTATGAAGTGAACTATAAACAACTTCAAATTATGCCAAACAAACAAATTATGCTTTATTATATTTCACCTAGGCTAACGCGCATGTCTGCCTCACAAAACCTAGCAAAAAATGGAGCAGATATAATTGAGGGTATAGACTTAAAAGCTTGACTCATCCCGTTAAAAAATGAATGCGGAGCGGGATGGATCTATGGACACTGCTTTTTTTAAACCTAATAATGATGACAATGGACAAGATTTGAGCAGGAAAGTATAGTACCCGTCCCCGCAGTGCCCAAATCGGCGTGGGCACTAATGTTCGTACTCGTACATATACCCGTACTTTATGAATATCTAAATATTATACACCTATCCGTTTATCTAAGTTTATAATAAAATTAAATTAATTAATTACAAAATATCATATAATTTAAGTTTATTTTAACCATATCAAAAAAATTATAGATGTTATTTTTGAATTAAGAAATAAATAAACATTTTTATTAAAACGTGTAATAATTTAATAGCAATATATTTTTTTTAAATTGATAAACGTGTATTTTTATATAAAAATGTAAATGACATTATATAATTATGTAATGCGAGCATGAGGTATGATGGATAGTAAGATACTCGTGTCTGCACACATATCTATTTATTTTAAAGGATAATTACTAGTGCCCGTATCCTTATCTATTTCACGGGTTTTTATTGTATCTGTTTTGAGTATTTTTGTGAGTACTCGTAGAATATAGGCCAAATTGTTATCCTTACTCAAAAATACAAAATTTTAAATTAATGTCTGCGCCGCAAAAATACAAATAGATAGAATATACATATTTGAGTGTACGGCCTAAAATCTTGATCCACTCTAAAAAAAAAAAAAAATTCTACATATCAAACCTGTTTTATCACCCATTTTCATCCATAAAGTGAACTATAAACTATTTCAAATTATGCAACAAATTATGCTTGTATGAGAAATGTTTTCTGTTTTAAGTTTTGTAGCTGCAAAAGGTATTTATACAATATTTTGTTTCTTAGATAGGTAGGTAATCTCTTTTCATTCTTTATTATAAATAAAGAACTATTCTTGTACTCTTTTCTTGTATAAAGTTGAAGGACTAGATATGCAATCTCTTTTCTTGTTCAAATACCAAACAAACACTACTTGTATTAGGAGTTCCGTTTGCTTTAAGTTGTTTTCCTAGTCAAAAAATAAATGCATATTTGGTTGTATACATCCAAACACGTCAATCTCTTCTAAAGCGACACCTGGCCGACATAAAGTGCCACGTGTACTTTTTGTTCCTATTTTCTGCTACTTTTTGTTACTTGAACGTAATATTTTTGTTAAAGCATGTTCCTAAAAATTTAGACTAATTACAGTGGTACATATTCGGCCTCTACAATGGTACATATTCTCTGTTTTTCATTTTTTAACTCTCCGTCATGTTCTGCCCTCTTCCGTCTAATAAATCAACATTGATTCATTTTTATTGAGGCTTATACTATTCCTTATAAAACTAGAGGAAATTACATTTTATAATATATATTAATAAAATTTTATCACATAAAATTAATATTTAAAAGGATATATTAATCTAAAATCTTAAGATATTAGATCTATATATTTTCTCACTTAAAAAAAAGTTAAATATTATCTTTTTTATCTAATGTGAGAATAATTATTTATATTTAATATATCAATATCTTATTATTTTAAAATCAAGTTTTATATATATATATATATATATATAATTTTTTGATTTTATTTTGATTTTTTAAAGTTTAGATTAATATGTGATTTTAAAATTTTATTTTATATGACAAAATTTAATTGATATCGAGTAAATTATCTTTAAATTTACGAAGGATAATCAAGAATTAACCTTTAATTTCTATTTACTATAATAATTTTGTTTAATAAAATTTAACACCTTTTTATATTTTTGTTTTTATAATTATATATTAATAATAATTATCAATTAAAATTAAATTAAAATAATTAAAAAAATAAATATTTTTTATATTTTTTTTTTCTAATTTAATAATTTATTTGAAGATTGAGATTTGAGATTTGAATAGTTGAAAGAGTAATTAATAGAATTTTTGAAGATTGAGATTTGAGATTTAAATAGTTGAAAAAGTAATTAGTAGAATTTTTAATATTAAAATGATTATTGTTGAGATTTATTTTATTAAAAAGATGTTTAAAATTCCAAAAAAGAGTTTTATTAGAAGCTAAATAAATTTTTTTTTTAAAAATCATTTTTTTCTGTATCTAAATTAAATAAATCAAATTTTTATTTATAAACTAAAAAATGATAAATTTTAATATATAAACAATTTTGATTAATTATGAAATAATTGACATCAATAATTAGGATGAGATAAACATTTGAAAAATCACATCAAACAATAAAATTTAGCCAAAATATTTTAGGCGGCCCCTTGCTCCCTTCTCATTCAATGTATTGAATCTTTTCAACACAAAATAATTTATCTCACTTTCGTTTTATCTAAATAATATTTTCATACGTATTATTACAAAGATTAAAACATTTTTAGTCATGATAAACGATAATATATTTATTAAGAAAAACTAATATTATTAAAGTATATACTCTAACTCAGTCTCTAATTAAATTAGTTGATAATTATGTAACAACACCAAAGCTAGAATACATGCATTATTTCAAATATAAAATTTCAACAAAAAAATATAAATAGAAAAACAAAAAAGTTGTACCCTTCGGACGAGGTGAGGAGAAGTGAAGAGGCATTTGGCACTCCAAAGTGGATCGTTGAGGTCTACTCCATGGCGTTCAAGCTCAGTTGCAAAACCACCGTCTATCACGGCGGCGCCACCACACTTTTTCAGAAAATCTCTCATTCCTAACTCCATCACGGCACACTTTTCAACTCTCACAGAAACTTGTAAACTTGTTTGTTTGGCCTAATGTTTTGTTGTGCAATATTTTGATATGATGCTGTATTAACTTATTTATAGCATTGATTCTATTTCGTGGATATGGGATTGTGAACTTACCATTTTGACCCTACAATTCACAGCTTGATTTTTCGTCGTTTATAAGCATTATTTTTTATGTTTCTCATACTCAACCAAATTCCAGCCTGATTCATTTAGGAGATTTTTATTAAAGAGCTTTACAACTTATTTAGGTATTTTTATAAAAGAGCTTTACAACTTATTTAGGTAGTTATTAAAGTAAAAATACTCATTAAGAAAACTTCGAACACTAATATACATTAAATGGATAAAAAACTTTGGTCAAATAGTTGAATTTAAATTAAGAATATGAATCTACCCTTAAATATATAACATATTCTAAAATGTTTTTTTAATAAATCAACTATTATTAAAAAAAGCTAGTGTAAATCATAAATATATAAATAAATGAGTTATATAAAATAATAATACATTTTAAAGTATATATTTATTAATTAAATAATACTGGAAAAAATTAAAGAATTTAAAATCCAAAAATATTAAAAGGATCCCATAAATATTCCTTTTCGAATAAGTTTTTGAAACTTAAAAAAAAGTGTGTGTCGCATGTACGCGTGTGTGAAATTTGTAATGAAGGCTACTTGGATGTTTATCTGACAAAGTGATTTGGCGTTGTCTTAAAGCATCTTGTTGTTGTCTTGGATACTTGCAAAGATTGAGACCAGTAGAGCTTCTGATGGAGGAATGTAAGTAAACTCAAATTCAAAATATTTCTTGCTTATTTGGTATTGAGGAGCTTGCTCAACATGCTCAAAGGCTTCAGTGTCATTGATTTGTATATTCTTCAGAGTGTTGCTTCTAATTATTGAGCAGGATAAATTGAAAATTTCTCCTTCTAAACTAACTCCAACATGAATCAGTATTCTAGTAATCAAATTCTCGTATAGATTTTAGAGTTTGCTTTGTCTAGAGTTTGCTTTATCCATAGTCCAAAGTCTACTTTCATTATCTTAAGATTATGCATACTTATTGAAATTATTAGTGTAAAAAATTGGTCTATATACTTTGTTCATATCAAAAATTAAGTATTGAAGATGTAGAAATGATCTTACCGGTTGATCAGAACTTGAAAGTGGGTCGAGTTGATGACGTCTGCTTGGCTGGAAATTTGTGAAGAGAAGGGAGTGTACCTGCAAGGCACTCTGACGATCTAGTGAGAAAGAATGAAAAGAGATACAAGAAAGAGATTAGGATTTTGTGAGTGAGTATTCGATATTTGGCCCTCACAAGTGTGAGGTTTATATAGTTCCCCTAACGCGTCACCATTGGTCCCTATTTTTGGGACTAGATATGTGGGTCCTCAAAAATAAGTAATTGCCAAGACCTGGTCAAAAGAAGCAGTCATATCTGTAACTAGTCGTTGCGTTGAACAAGGATGAGATGACAGACATAAGCGTTTATGAGCGTTTTCTGCGCATCTTCTCTTCGTGTATCGAGAAGACTGAGAGGTAGCTGCCCGCATGGGAAGGCGTGTGATTCAGGCATTGTTAGTCGCGCCGTTCGAGGGCGTGGTTGACCAGGAATACTGGGCCAGCATTATTGGACCGTGTCAAAGGTGGAAGCGGGTTGGCCCAATTCTAGTCATTGGGCCAGTTCAGAACAGGAGCCCCCAAGTCGTTTCTTCTGGTCAGAGGAGTAACGACTCAAAGTGTGCCCGAAAGAGGGGGACATTTTGCGGGCAGCTATGCGCGAGGAGTTCGAGTGATGCTCGACGAGCCTGTTATGCAAGGAGAAGAATAGTTGATTGGATCATAAGAGATAGTGTGTTGTGCTTGCGTTGAGTCATGCTGTCATAAAAAAGTAATGATGGCAAGCTAAGGGACTAGGGTGTAATGATGACGCCTTTTAGAGTTCTCGAGGCGCGTGCCCGCCCACACGCTAGTGAAGTCAGTCTATAAAAGGGAGAGAGGAAGCTTCATTAGAATTTTCCGGTTGCTCTTCCTCCGCTCGTCTCTGGTCTTTGCTCGATGCAGTCGTCCTCCGTCGTAGTTTCTACCCTTTCCGTCATTCAGTGCCGCTAGTTTTCTCTAACTTTGTAAGTTTTACTGCTTTTCTTTCGTTTTTGCATAAATGTTTCCTGTTTTTAGGTTAAATTTCGCTTGCGATTGTAGAGATGTATGTGGTTAGGGATAATTTAGCTTTAGATAGGATGATTTTTGGTGGTTTTATCGCCTGCGAATGTTGACCTCGTCGTGGGTTTGTTTGATGTTCCTTGGCGGCAGAGCCGGTAGCGGTGTTCTGTGGTGAAATTTTCGGTGATACTGAACCATTTTCCAGGTTTTTTCTAATGTGTCTCTAGGCGAGGTTGAAAACCATTGGTTTGGGAAAGGACTCTCCTCGCCGGAGTTAGGGTTTGTCCTGGTGGTGGGGCACCTAATGCGTTAGAGGGGAGCACCTTCTTTCCCCTTCAGCTGTTTTGTGTGAGGGCTCTGGTCGAGGATAGGATCCTCGTTCACGCTCTTTCACTTGATTAGCGGTGGAAGGGTAGATTTTATTCAATGTCGAATTCACTTCCATCCTCTGCTTTTCAGGTATGATAGCTAGCAGTACAAAAGATGATATTATGGGCGAGCATACTGATTGTGCAACGATTTCATCCAGGAGCACCTCGACCTATGAGATTACCTCGAGGGCGCGTGATCCAGGGCCGGGTGTTCCCGAGAAGGGCACAAATGCGGAGGTTGAGCTCGTGGTCGAGGACCCTTTAGCCTGGGTTGCATCGAACCCCATGGAGGCCGTTTCTCATTTTATTGAGTACTCAGACGGGGTGTTTACGCCGGTGGCTCCGAGGATGGAGTCGGAGGAAACAGATGAGGAGTGAGCAGTTTACATCCCTGGGAAGGATCACCATATATGCTCGAAGTTTGAAGCAAACCATATCCCTGTGTATTAAATTTTCTTTCGGGAGCTAGGTCTTCGGCTTCCTTTCTCTGATCTGCATGTGGCCATTTTTTAGCATCTCCATCTTGCTCCTTCTCTGCTTCATCCCAATTTAATCACCTCCTTGCGGGCTTTTGAAATAGTATGTGGTTATTTGCAGATATAGGCCATTGTCCCTTTGTTCTTTTATTGCTTCGGCCTCCAACAAGGACAGTTTGGCAAGCAATGGGGATGGGTTTCCTTGAAATAAGCCAATGGGAAGTTGTTTAAGCCTTACCTTGAATCTGTCCGCCACTTTAAGGAGAGCTATATGCTTGTCCAGCCCGTGTCGGATAGGGCTTTGTTAAATGTTTTTAAGAGTGTCTCGCTGGTTGATGAGGAGGGGAACCCCGTGAAGAACGAGGAAGGGAACCCGATGGTAAAGTTGGTGCCAAAGTTTCATTTCCATTGGTCGAAGAAACATTTTGATCGGGGGACCGATCATTACATCTGGAAGAAGAAGCAACTGGGTCCCGAGGATCTTGCCAGCCATGATCATTTGTCGACCTTTGTTGTTGGGATTACCCCTGTCCAGCGTGTGGGCAAAAGGGGGAGGCCCTTGACAGACGAGGACGGGGATCCCATGTTTGAGCTGGGGCTTATAAATGTGAAAGAGCTCCCCGAATCCGGAGATCCCATGGCGTACTTGGGTAGTTTATCTTGTATTTTAGATTTGTCTTATGCGTATATTTCTTTATCTTCGTTCACTGACTCTTATTCGTTTTTTGTTGTAGGAAGGATGAACGATGCTCAGGAGTGTATGATCAAGTCAGTTGTTGCTGCTCAAAAATTGAAGAAGGGGCAGAATTCAGGAAAAGGTCCTCAGGGTGATGCGGGGCCGATCCCTCAAGCGGGTTCGGGAACGTCATCATCTGGTTCTTTGGTCGGGCATCCTTCTCCTTAATTGATATCTTCGAGGTTCAAGAGAGCACGCGTTGAGGGTACCTTCGATTTGATGGGTGATCAAGATAAGGGCAAGTTTGAGCTGCCTCCATGCTTTCATAACATGAAATTCTTTGAGGGCTCCTCCTTGCAACTTCTCCGAGATGAATCGTTGATGCTAGAGGATATGGACCACCCGAGCAAGAGGGGGACGCTAGCCTAAGATGCTGGTACAGTAATAAGGGTGTTGGGAATGACCATGGCGTATACCGAGGAAGGCACCTCCCTAGAGGGTGAGCTGAGGAAGTCTCAAGTCAAAGTAGAGACTCTCGAGGAGAAGCTTGTCGCAACGAATGTTGCGATCAATACGTCAAAGGAAAAACTGGCCAAGGTCACCGAGGAGTGCGACACCCTTTTTCTATAGAAGAAGTCCCTGGAGGAGTCGATTTCCATTTTGAGGGCGGAGGCAACTCTTATCGAGGATGAGCCGGAAGAGGCCAAGGGTCTGAAAAACTGTGCAGAGTTGGTTTCTTGTATCCAGTTTTCTGTAGATGACGGTGTGGCTAATGTCGTGGGGGCCTTCTTGAATACTAAGAAGCAGCTTAGGGTATTGAACCCATGTGTGGAATTTAACACGACCGGGATGGGGTTCCTCCACTATGTGGAAGATGGGAGGATTGTTGTGCTCGACTTCCTCAAGGCTGAAGAGGATGGACCAGTGGAGGAGCTTGCCCTCGAGGATAATGCAAACGAGGAGAGATTTCAGCCTGGAATTTAATCAGTTTATTGTTGTTATTTTTGTTTCTTCCTGCATGTTGTATTGTTGTAATTATTTCTGTGGGCTCTGCCCATTTTGATGTAAGTTCCAAAAAATCGTGGTCTTCGTGGCCACATGATCATTTTTTTTGTTGGGGGCCTCGGGCCCCCTTTATGTAATGTTCCGTACAATTGTGGCCCTTGTGGTCGTTCATTTTTTAATCTGCATTGTTTAAGTGTTTCTAACTTTGTTTCGTGCATGATTTATTGATTATTTGTAATGTGAAATGTTTGCATGTTTGGTAGGCTCGTCTGCT